TACCACATACCGCATGTTGTGTGTGTACCCGTATGGCCCCCTCATGAGACTAGCTACAATTCCAGATAGTATATTTACTCTCTCCTATTGGCATGATCGACGACGATCGCGAAGAGCGGCGGCTTCAAAAGATGTGACCAATAGTTATCTTATTTTTATAGTATTCATAGAAAGGATTTGTTTTGTCACGTGGTGATTTGAATCAATTACATTTTTTTTTATATTCAGTTACATTCATACACAATATAAAAAGTTCAATCGTTTTAATTATAGTTAAAAAATTTAATATTAATTATTTAATCTTTTACGATATTGATCAAGAAATTTTTGTGGGAATTTTATGCCATCTCATCGAAGTTTCAACGTTGCCATTACGATTGTGCATTAACATTGTTCTTAGTGTTGTTTGTATAATAATATTCAATAAAAAAACTAGTGGAAAAGTCTGATAATATATGATAAAATATAATATAGATATTTTTCTATATTTTTATTAATATTAAATGGATTTTCTAGCGACCGTCGCACTGGCAACGATGCCAGTGAAAGAGGCGACTCGCCGGCGTCGCTTTCACGGCGTCACACAACTACCTTGACTCGAACATGATTAACAAACCTTTCTCCACTCTTGTTTTCGCAATTCCTTTTTTTTTAACGGCTAGTTGATGCACATTGTTTTTTTTTTCTAAATAAAGTTATTAAAAGTTTCAAATATCTAAAAATTCACGATACTTCTATTTATGTAATGTCTATATTACTATTATTACAAATTACATTAAAATATAAATAGTATTTATTAACAAAACACTTTTTGTTGCTTTTTTTATGGCAAGTAAGATTGAAAGCGAAAGCATCATAATCAATGATCGTATATTCACTTCGACTTGTATTGTTAGGTCGTATTTGATAGATATATTATAAATATATTAGTTTGAAACAAAAAACTTTTTTTTTTTGACATAATTGAGTACTATAAATTATAGAGGAAGCAAAGTTGTGTTACTATTGCCAATGATTTGTTTTATTTTATTCATTCGCGTCCTGATTTCACATAAACTGAGGTTATACATATATATATATGTACAAACATAAAGGTTAATTGTGCACAACAAACATATTCTAATTTGTTATCATATTTAACGAAGATAATTCAAGGTTAAAGTTATGTGATTCAAAAAATATTCAAAAGATGCGGTAAAAAACGATAATAGTATATTTTTTGTTTCTTATTATTTTAAAATCATCATTCGTTTAGAAAATTTTGTTACAGATATGTGTATCTTTCAGATCTATATTTATGCCGTGTTTATAAACATATATACTTTTCTATTATAGTTTAACGTCTCTTGAACTTTAAAGTAAATTTTAAAATTTCAAGAATTGTGTAAAGATCAATTTTTGAGAATTAATTTTCTTGATTAATTTAAATTTAAAAAATTTAAGTATTAAAGTTTTCAATCGTTTTCAAACCAAACTTTTCGAACATTTTATTTAAGAAAGATTTTATTTATAAGAAATTACCGATTCGACTTACAAAGCAACAATCCCTTAAGAATCAATTCCCTCTCATTATACAAATTACCAAAAACAAGACTGGATAAAGCTCGTTTATCAAGACTGATGCGCGGAATTTAGAGCGTGGAGACGATAAAAACGAGGATTTATCAAGAAGAATCCGATTTGCCTGGTTCTCCATCGGTTGAACTATAGACGATGCCGTTAGATTCGCCAAAATTCGGTGCGAATGCTTGAATCGGGACAGTTCCCGTTGACGAGCGTTCGCGACAACGAGTTTTCACGGCACGAGCTTCAATTCCACTGGCGTCACGTCTGGCTTAATTAATTGAAGGCAGGTTCGAGACTCGTTAAATTCCACGTTACGGCTTTTTAGTCTTTCCTACGAGACTACGACCGGAATCGGGTAATAATAATGGAATCTTTGCCATCCACGATCACCGCGTTCCGCCGTTTAATTATTCATTCTTCGTTCAACGATGGTCGTCTTTCTATTCCCACTTTCCTTTGTTTTTGTTAATTCTGCATAGATCAAACTCTTATCCTCTATATTCCGTATTTCCTTTGCCACTAATCGTTGAATCGTTTTATGATGACTTCGATTATCATGAATCAGGTTTTTCCTATCTTTTAAAAGTCTCTTTTATAATATGCAGAATGTTTTTTTTTCATTTCAAAATTCGCCATTATAATTATTGACAAAATATAATCATTGAATGGTACTGAAAATCTTTTGAATCTGATGAAAATATTTATAAAGATTATTGAAGATTATTAACTGAAAAAAATAGCTGAAATTCTCTTTTAGATATGTAAATATTTCGCAATCTTTGTAAAGTTTTGTGAAGTTACCAATCTAATAATTTCAGATCTATCTTAAAAAATATATTTGTGTCAATTAAATATTACGACATAATATTATCACGATAATATTTAATTGTCAAATTCAGAGAATCGCATATTCGTTTCAAAAAAGTGAGACAAAAAATCTATTGAGATTTTAAGTTCCAATCCGATTGATGGATATGGATAGTTATTGATGAATGATTATACTGAATCGTTTATTAATATTATTATTTCGTCATTGATATACATAAAAATATATTTCACATTTTTTTTTTAAAGAAACTTCTATTTTTATTGATAATCTATCGGAAATGACGACAGATTTGGTAACGGAGACATTAGTTGCAAGCTAGTTCTTTCTTCCGGTTGGAGAGGGGAGTACCGTTGTTTTCATTCCTGGTAAAGTTGTTTACGTCAAGGCTACTTTTCTACGGCATCCATCGATGCCTCGTCATCGTTACGCAGTGTCTCAGACTTCTTTGAATCATGTCGAGAAGTTAGAAGGTGAATATAAAGAATTCTGTGTCAGTGAGAAATTATCGTGGAAGTTGGGATATTTGGAAAAAAGTGCAACGTGGTTACTTATCAAATGCTGAGGAATTGAAATTTTCAATGGAATTTTGATATAGAGTAGATTTCACATTTTTAACATTCAGATATTTTTTTTAATAATCGAATACTTACTTTTTAAGTTTATTTAATATTTACTTTTCAAATAATGTTTGATGCAATAACAAATAAAGTTTATTGAAATATTTTTCTGAATAATATTTAAACTTTATCTAAATAATACTTTATACTTAATTATATCTATCTTTATAATTCACTGATTCCATTTTATTTATTATTCTTATGAACTCAATAATACCGCATATAAGTGTAACAGTTGATCAACAAATTTTTCAAACGATCTCTCTTGTATTTCGTCGATTATTTCTCTTTCCATCGTTTGTTTTTCTAACACACAGTGAAGAACAGTTGCGTAACACCACGTGTGCTTCGTGGCAAATAACCCCGAACGATGCATGTCGAAGACAGTTGTATCTTTAAAAGTCGGCTTTCTCTTCATTGATACTCTTTTCTTTTATACCGACCGAGCTTCGTATAAAAGTACACCGCAAGTAGCTTCTTAAGAGGATAAACTTACAAGGATTGCGGACACGCTTTGCCTTTGTGACTAGCAAACTGAATACCAACCGCATATCTGTCAGTGCTCTTGGATTTTTCCTGGTATTTCAGATAAAGATACTACAACAACAATTCTTTTAAAAATATTCAATAATGAATGAATGAATATATAATGTATGAATGTGAAAATTTTCAGAAATAAATAATTTTCTATATATCCATAATTGATATCCATAATTCATTGATTATAATAGATTAACTTCTATTAAAGATGACTATAGACATATAATATTATCACTTATATTAAACTAATATTAAACACTTATATATTAAGGGTAGATATTCAACATTTAATTGATTAAAAATAAGTATAGTCACTTAATAAACATTCTGTGCATATCAAAGGCGATTATAGTCGCTCAGCATTGAATTCTTGGTATATATTAAAGAATTATGTGTAAAAAGATTTGTTGTGTCAGCCAATATGAAGGATTCATTATGTTCATAGTGAACTTATATTAAACTAATTTCTTCAATTTGCACGTTTATAGGGAAATATAGAATTGAGATATAAACATATCTCATATCTTGGAATATAAACATTGGTCTCATATAATGGGCAAATTTGTGGCAGTGAAAAGATTAAATTATATTTTATCTTCTATATTTTGCACGATAAAATAGTATTAATAGTATTTATCGTATAAAATATCGAATAAGAAATACAAAATAAAATGAAATATATAATCAAAAACTCTTTCAGTTATCTATAAATTATTGATATCTATTGAGAATCAAAATATGTAATACTTGAGTTTTGAATTAATTATAATCAATGATAATTGAGTAATTGAGATAATAAAATATCTAAAGCAAAAGTTTTTATAAACAAAAATATGAGTTTGTTTATTTTGTTCAATATAAGTTTTATTTTGAATAAATATATTATTCTGACTTATCATTTTATAAAAAAATGATTTAATTAATTTTTGTTTTCATCATTTAAATTTTATTCTTCACCATTTAAATTCTTTGATTCTTTTTTTTAAATCAAAATTAAAAGAAAATGAAGAAAAATACAAGAAACATAATATTACAAACATAAATTACATAAATATTTAAATATCAAATAAAATAACAAATATTAAAATAATTTATCTTTAAAATATATTATTACTTCG